TGTTGGAGACAATCATCGCAGCACTCTCAGCCCAATCTATCTCCTAGGGTTGTTACAGGATATCTCTTATGGTCACTGACCATCATGTTATACAGCTTACAAGAAGTACAAGATCCAAGTTAAAATTCATACAGGTTTTCTAAGAGTAATAAAAATAACTAGTAAATAAAATATTCAGACTACTAAATTCTTCAAACTACTAAATGTTTCTAATAAATATTAGAACAATACTAATAATCTAAATACTTAAAAGTAATTGATTAGAGTAGGACAATATTTTCCTGAGTAGAGCAATGTCAGCTGAAACAAATGTTGTGAGTGTTCTGATGATTTTAGGGTAATCATATGAACAAGTTAGGAGGGTAGGGCACAGGTTGATATAGAAAAAAACACTGAAGGGACATGTAGGCTAGATTCTCAGGTTCCTACAACTCACGGGGGCAAGTTAATTCTGCAAAAAGGATATTATTTTACCTTTGCTACAATATCAAATTAAAGGCATTAAAGCAGGCTAAGGAAAGAGCTCTACAGTGTTCTTGGACTGGTCATACTGAATTTGTAATGTGATTGGTTTCCTTTAATATTCTGCCGGTATTGGTTGCCTAGATTGCCAAGTTCTACCTAGAGCAGAGGTCTAGGTCCCCAACCTTTTGAGCACCACCATCATCATAATAATAACTTTATTGTCACTTTGAATGTACACCAGTCGGCGTACATCAAAATGAAATTTTGTTGCATACAGCTCTCAAAGGGTCACCACCTCCGATATACACTCCTTGTTGGTGGCCGGCTCAAGTTACAGATCTTTCATTTTAGTCTCTAGGGAGCGAACGATGGCAAACAGGACAAATGGAAACGGAGCTCCGTGTTGACTAGCCCTCAAATTAGCTTGCATTCCTGCACAACAATCTTGCCTCCCTTCCTTTTTCTGATCCTGTCTTTTCCACCCTTTCCTTAAAGAGGCCTTGCTTCTTTTCGCCCCTGGAACCAGGGACCGGTTCCGTGGAGAGAGGTTTTTCTGTGGACCAGAAGGGGCGTGGTTTCATGTACTGCCTGCACCCCACAGTTTGTCAAGATCTTTTTGGATCCTGAGCTTGTCTTCTGGGTGTTGGCTATTCCTGCCAGTTTAGTATCATCTGTATTTGATGAGTTCCCCTTCTATTCCCTCATCTAAGTCATTTATGAAGATATTAAAGAGTACTGGGCCTAAGACGGAGCCTTGTGGTACCCCACTGATTATTTCTCTCCATGTGGATGTAGTATCATTGAGGACTACTCGCTGAGTATGGTTTGTCGGCCAACTACAGATCCTAATTAAGCAAAGTAATCTTCTGGCTATAGATGAATGAAACAACTTTCTGTTGTTTCAACAGATAGAATCAAAATTTTATTTTGCATCAATAATGAAATATATAAAAATGGGGCCTGAATATATGTTTATATTTCTCTGCTAAAAACTATGAAATAGCACATTGAACCATAGTAAATCTGGTCTGTCTAAAGACCACCGTTTATTAACTAGAAATTTCTCTCATTCCAACCAATCCAGAGGCTTATAGAAAGCATGCATACAACTTAGTAGGAGTACTTAAAAACTGATTGGAAAATATTTGTAAGGCTCCATGCTATTTCCTGTGTTAAAAAGTGGAATAGTAATGAAACAATTCCAGTCTTTGGCTGTTTGGAATGTGTTAACACTAAAGACTGGGGGGGGGGGGTAACCCACCAAATAATGTTGCTATACCATTCCAACTGGGTTTATTAGATTGCTATCAGGCCCTTTTCCATTTTTAACTGATGATTAATTTAATAATTACCAGATGAGAGATTGGTGGCCAGGGCAATGTTGTTTAGAGGCATGAACTGAAGCAAAGAACTAGTGGAGGAGGACCTGTGTAGCACAATAAAGTTCTTCCCATCTCTTGGGTGAAATCTTAATCACTGGCCAAAAGTCTTATTAATGAGGAATTTACAATTATTTTCCTTAAAATACAGGATTTTTTTTTCATTTTTAGCTTGGAAAAGTTGGTCCCAAATAATTTGTTTGCTTCTTTTTATTAGATTTGTTAGACTTCCATCTAACGGATAAGTTATAATGGTGGGATAGTTGCTAGATTTGTAACATTTGAAGGCTGATTTGCATCAATCATGATCAAACCTGGATTCCTGCCTGAGATGGGAGAATTTGCTCATGTAATGCCAATTGATAGTAAGTTGACTGTAGTCTTTTAAGTTTAGATATTAGCACTTTTATATAGTTAAAGGCTGTGCAGAAGGATTTCAGAAAAAAATAATAGAAACCAATGCTATGTGAGGTATATAAATCAAATAATTTAAAATATTAAAATGAATTAACAAAGCATAATATAGAAGTCAGAAATAAAACTGGAATAAAAGAGTCTGGAATAAATTTATAGAAATTTCAACTGGACCACTGTTGGATATTATGTAACTTTCGTACAATGAGCATAAACTCTCATTGCTAAAAACACTGCTTTGTTGCCATCATTAATTTTCAATGATTATCAAATATTGACAACATAAGAAACACTTTTTTTTAATTGCACTACATTTAAATGATATTATTCCATTTTTAATCATAAATGATTGTGAAATCAGGCAGATTATAAATTATGTAAATAAAATATGAAAATACAAAATATGAAAATATTGAGTAAAAAGAATAATCAGGAAAGCAAGAGTGATTTTTTTCAACAAATCAGAAAAATATTAACAAGTAACCTCGATAAGATTTCAGATAAGACATCTGCAATATATTTGATCTAACAATTTTATGAATCATTAGTAAAGTATGTATTATGCAAGAATTCAGTACTTTAAAGAATAGTTTCTTAGCCAAAGCTGGAAAAATCAACATCTGGATGACATAGCTAGAGAGCACAAGCAGAAACTGACTCAACACATTATCAGGCCACAAAGATTTGTCAGGCTTTCTGAATTAAAAAATATTTATCTTTAGAAACCTGCTTATATCTTCTTCTTTGCCATATTCTTCTATTTGATCCAAATAGTTAGAAGATGGTCCTCGAACTTGTTTTCTTGGAAAATCTGGAAAGCAGAAACCACCATCTTTTCTTGCATAGTAGAAACAAAAGTCATCAGCAGTAATTTGGAGCAAACCTTTGAAAAGGAAGGAAGAAATGTTTAGCAAATTAGTTTGTGTTATTTTCTATTTAGAGTTTGCTACTTTTTACAAAGGAATTGTAGAAAAGTAGATATCATTCTGATTCACACATAATGCTCACTATATATCATTCTGGTTTACACATAATGTTAACCAAATTAGTATAAGTTAATATGATATGAAAATCCATACATTGTGTATGACAGAATGGAACAGAACTACTTGCATAAGTAAAAAAGGAATTGCAATTTAGCATTATGTGTGAAGTCCTTGGTGCTCTCTGAGCTTAGTTGTTTTCTTGCAGACATTTCAGAAAACAACCACGTTTAGAGATCACAAAGAGACCACAATTCAACCCTGAGTTACATATATTCTCTTCAATTGGTATATTATGTATGAACTAGACCACTGGTAATTTTGATATGTTATATCTTTTAAAATACAAATGTTCTTCCCAAGAATGTACATAGGCATACAATTTTTCATCAATATTTTTTATCAATATACAGGTAGTCTTCATCTTATGACCGTTTGTTTAACGATCATTTAAAGTTACAGTAATCTCATAAAAAGTGACTTATAACCCATCACTGAAGTTGCAACCATCACACCACCCTTATGGTCATGTGACTGCAATTTGGGTATTTGGCAACTGGCTTGCTTTCACGATGGTTGGAGTGGTTGCATGATCATGATTTGTGATCTTCCCAGCCAGCTTCTGACAAGCAAACTTAATTGGAGAAGCCAGATTTACTTAACAATTATGTGATTCGCTTAATGAGCATATGATTCACTTAACAACTATAGTTAATCACTTAATAGTAGTGGTAAAAATGTTCATAAAATCAGGCCTGGTCATGAAACAATCACCTTTCTTAGTGACTGAAATTCCAGTCTACCTATAAACAGAGCTCAGTAGAGAGTAAGAAATAACATGAACCTTCCTCATTTTTCTATTGGAAGAATATTTATCTCTTAGGGTCTTATGATCTTTTACAATAATTGCAGATTACTTGACTGGTCTTTAAGAGGGCATTAAAAACATGGTTTCCCAGTCTTGGGTTAGATGATTGGTATAGTCTTTTGTCTATCTCTTGTTGGGACAGGTGGGAAGAAACAGCTGTTTCCTTCAAATGATTATCTTTTCAAATTTTACTTTTACTGTTTTATCCTTTTTATATATTAGTCACTCAGTGTCTTGAAATTTGAAGTATAAATAAAATAAAAAAATTACATTTGTCCTATTTCATTGACTCATCTGTAAATTCTAAATGAGCCCAGCATGACTACAGTATATGTGTTATTCAGAAGACAACAAAGTAAAAAAGTTAGGCATGTGAAGAAAAAGTTGTGGTATAATATGTTGGACATAGATATTCCCAGGGCTTTTTTTGTCATAGAACGCCCAGAACGGAGTTCCGGCACCTTTTTTTGATGGAACCTTGTAGGGTAGGCAAGGCGGGTTGTATGACATGTATGAGTTCTGTCACTTTTTTTTTTTTTTTTTTTTACAAAAAAAGCACTGGATATTCCAAACTTTTGCTTAGTTGTTTTTTCTTACTTTAATTTGCAGCATGCACGTCATTCTAAAAATTCTAAAACATTTTGAAGGAAATGTAGGTACCTTTAATGAAAAATAAAAACCTACCAAATATTTAGATATATTATTTGTTACACGTTATTTCTTATTCTTGATAAATTTAATAAAATTATATAAATATGACATCATACATCAATAATAAAACTGATTAGAAATCATGCCAAACTTTCAGATTTAGGAGCAGCAATCAAACTCTCTACAGTTCTTATTATTTATACATGTTTTCCAGACAACCATCAACAGAAATATTCATAAAAATGCAGTCCGTGTGGCCCTGAAGAGCAACTGACCAGATGGAATGAAGCCATCTATCTTTCCAGTTTGCTGAATTTACAACTTTCTTACATTACAATGTATTAGGTTATCAAAATCAAAAATAAGAGCAAAACGGTCTTGAAAATTAAGCTACATTCTGAAAATTCTTTAAATAAGTTAACTGCTTTTATACTGGAGTTTATTTTCAAACATGTTCCAAATGTATAATTGCATTAGAGTTTTACAAACTTATTCTGAAGACCATCAATTTCCATAGCTGATTTGTAAAAGTAACAAATATATTTTTCATATGAGCATATACTTTACACAATCTGTATGAAAAACTTTCTGTGTATAATATTGATACAAATTACACACATATTTCTCTAAAATACAGTATGTGATCAAATGACTTATCTTTTGTCCACAGAAAAAATAATCAGCCTAAAACATTCATGGAGGTCCTCAGTCTTATGCTTTGTATACTCAGTACAATTTCAGAGTGTACAACATGTCTATCAATCTATCTAATATATTCAATCCACTCTACATTGCCCAAATGAATGTATGAAGAACTATAATTTTAGATAAATAATACAATTATTTATTTACTAATAAACAATATTCATGGATAGTTCTACATAATGAATTTATGGGAGAAAAAATGTCTTTGTGGAATATATAGTGTCAAGTCCACTTAATGATAGCAAATATCTACAAATCCATAGGCTGCAGGAACATTTGTCTTCTATACCATCTATGAAATATATATATATATATATATATAAGCCTGCATTGCTTTGATGCTGCAATTTGTCTTTTCCTACTTTTCTTTTCTCTTTGTCTCATTCTGTCATTCCTTTTCTTCCCTGCCTCTCCTTTTAGAAGAAGGTAAAACTATTCTTGCCGAAAAACTGATCTAATAGCTTATAGAAAGCTTTTGAAATTGGTCCCATGAATTTGACCAAAAATTTAAGTTGCCCTTGCATTACATCAAAGGAAGAGAAATTCTTCCTATTTCTTGAATTCTCAGTTAAATTGTTACTGAGTCGTGGTGGCACAGTGCTTAGAATGCAGAATTGCAGGCTAACTTTGCCCACAGCCAGGAGTTCAATCCTGACTGGCTCAAGACTGACTCAATCTTCCATCCTTCAAAGGTCAGTAAAATGAGGACCCAGATTGTTGGGAGAAATATACCCTGATTCTATAAACCACTTAGAGCAGTGGTGGTGAACCTATGGTACGCGTGCCAGAGGTGGCACTCAGAGCCCTCTCTGTGGGCACGTGCACTGTTTCCCCAGCCCCACCTCCCCTTGTGGCCCCCTCCTCACCAGCAGCCCCCCGGAGGAGATTCGCCCCCAAGCGTGGCCCGCATGGAGCAGCGCAGCCAAGGACATGGTGGCCGGGCAGTGGGGACAAGACTCCACCCTTGTGCCCCATCGCATGCAGATGATGCTATGGGGTGCGGATGGAGGGCGTGGTTGCCATGGCATTGCTGGGCTGCCATGGCGATCTGCGGCGGTCCATGGAGGCAGTGGGGGGCTGGGTGGGTGACGGGGGCTGGGGCAGAGTGCGGGTGGGCAGGGCGGGGGCGGGGCCAGTTTTTGGGCACTCGGTCTCTAAAAGGTTCACCATCACTGACTTAGAGAATGCTCTAAAGCAATATAAATATAAAATAATATAAATCTAAGCAATATAAATCTAAGTGCTATTGCTATTTAGAATGCAGATCAACTAAGAATTCACCAAGAATTCATTAACAGCCAACTATCACCAATATATTATAAATACATAAGTTTGGCTTATTTATATGGCTATCCAAATGTTTAGAAAGATGAAAAGTGATACTCAGGTCATATAAGTTACACTCATAGTAATATCGGGAAATGGAATATTTTATTCAATTCCGCACCATAATAAAATCAAACACATCAGCAGACAAAAGCTGTTCCACTAAGTAATTATTGGAAGTTGGGCACAGCTATTGAAATGAAGCCAAGCAAGATCATGGCTGCTTAGTTAGACTGGAAAATAAAATTATAAAAAAACCAAACAAGCCAGTGGCAAATCACTTCCACCCTTTTGCCAAGAATATTGCACAATCATATCTGTCAGGCTCAAATTAAATGCCTTTATTTTATGATTAATATAATTAAATAGCTATATTATACATTTGTGTTTCCCTCTCAGAAAATATCTCTGTTGAATAAGCCAGCTATTGAAGCTTCTTCCTCAGTAATCAAAACTATGAAACTGGTTAATTCCATCAAAATCAGTATTCAGCTCTTAGAAAAAAACAAGAGCCATATGATATTTTAATGATGAATATGTATACCAGGCATTAGGGAGTTTCTTATGGATTTGAGACCTCCCATCCATAAGGTTGTGCTATAAAATAATTGTTAGTTTTGAACATGTTTATTGCAACAAACAAACTTGACTACATTTTTGTAAATGACTAAATTTCTAAGAGACGATAGATGTTAAATAAAGTGTAACATTATATATGCTTTCTTAGAGCGAGGTTCTACTCTTAAGACCAATATTTTAAAGTATAGGTCATCCCCAAGTTACGCTCGTTCAAAGTTATGTGACGAACACCCCCTAGTGCTTATGAGCAAGTCCTGAAGTTACGAATATTGCAGCACCATAGCAGTCGTTCGCCCTTACAAGCGACAGCAGTGGCTCTGCAACTTTCACCCTGGTTATTCCCTCCCTCCCCACCCACGCCCTGGGTCTCCCTAGGTACCAGGCCTTCAATACTCATGCTGCGAAGATCGAGATCCTTCACTTTCTTGGCTGTTCCAGGTCTTCGGTGTGTTTGCAGAAAATGGAGGCTTAAAGTAATGCAAGATCATGCGAGATCAGTGGGGTGAGATCTCACGCTACTGATCTCATGGTATTTTAGGCCTCTGTTCTCTGCAACAGAGAATGGAACCGAAGCTGGGGGATGCTTCCACATGGATCGAGGCCTTTTCCAGGCCACTGTGGCCCAGATCTGAGGCTGGGGAGCACTTCTGCGCCCTCCCACCTGATCTGGTCTCTGGAGGCCTTTTCCAGGTGCGATCAGGCCATGGAGGGTTTGCGGAAACGTTTGCTGGCTTCAGATTCAGGCAGCAGCGACCTGGAAAAGGTCTCCAGAGCCCGGATCGGGCCGCAGGGGGTGCAGAAGCATTCCCCGGTCTTAGATCCAGGCAGCAGTGGCCTGGAAAAGGCCTCCGGAGTCCAGATTGGGCTGCGGTGGGGCATGGAAGCGTTCCCTGGCCTTAGATCTGGGCAGTAGTAGGAACTGCGGCAGAGAGGAGATGGATCTTTTCCGGGTGAGTCCAATGCGACAGGAAGGCAGGGGGCGCATGTGGTATCTTAGTGAGTTGGGGAGGCCTTGGGGGCCTGTTCCATCACTAGGTCCTCCATGGCCTTCCCCACCCTGAGATACTTCATGTTTGCTTAACGAGCCATGTGCGTTTTAATGAGCAAGGGAGTAATCTCGTTCGAGGTACAAGATTCACTCTACAAGTTTTCAAGTTACGAGTGGAATGGGCAGGCTCCGTTACACTCGTAACTCGAGGACTACCTGTAATTATGTTTTAAGTCCAATCATTTCTAGCTCCAGAAATAGTAATCAAATCTCAGAATAGTACTTTGATTAATAAACAAATCATTCTACCAAACAGATCTCTTAATCTGATTGGTCATGGGTATGCTGATTTGGTCATTTATGGTAGATAATTCTCTTATCCACTCTTAGAATAAATAGAATAGTTATTGGGGTCTTATTGATATAGAAAACCCAATTCTGGCTGATAGTGTAGCATGCAAAGTTCAGTGCTCTGTCCAGTGCTTAAAGTGATATTTTCATCTGGTTCCCTTTCAAGGCAACCTGGGTGGTCACAAAAACCACTTGACATCTTGATGCACTTCAGCAGTTTTACATATACACAAACTCTGTAGGAAAATAAATTTGTCATTTGTCACCACATATGTTGATCTGGGGAGCGAAGCGCTTTTGACTCAGCTCCTGTGCAGCTCAGATGCCTCTCTCCCCGTTGTTTCAGCATTTAATCTTTTTATTCTGCGAAAGCAAATTTTCCTTAAGAATAATGACTTTTTAGGGAAAAAAAGAATATTGCAATTTAGCAGATTACTCTTCATATATATATACATATGCTAATTAAAATTATATTTATGTAGGGGGTTGTTATTATTATTAATAATAACCTCCCTTGGAGGCCTGCAGCATGAGCCAAATATTTAATCTAATCTGTTATCGCTGCTCAACAGGCAGTCTTGGCAACTGTGATCTGTTCTGCTTTGCTCTAGAGAATGCAATAAAGAGTAAGGAACAGCTGGTTTAAGAAAGCCTAAGAAATGTCTCTGTAGTTTAGAAAGACAATAATAATATTTTCATATTTTAATGAGTTTAGATACATGCTAAACCACACTAAAAGCATCTCTTTCAAAATGTTTCCTTATGTTAATCAGAGCAGACTACCCCGCCCCCAGTTCAAAGTTATGCATCCATGGGACCTCTAAGCAATAAAAGTATAGAGGGTTTCTTAAAAGTTTTTCTTAATTTATTTCATAGTACTCTGCTCCCCTTTTAAACTTTTTTGTTTTTTTAAAAGCTACATTTATTTCATAAATGTTTACTGTTTAGTTTAAAATGTGATAAAAACAGCGCAACAATCACTATTCATGTTGTGTAGATTATGCTCAGATGTAATATCAAATCAAAGATAGAATTATGTGCATGACATTTAAGCGGATTTGCTGTTTATTGCAAAACCATAGTGCTCTGTTGTATTCAGGTGCAATAATAGTATTGTTTCAGTTGCAGAGCTTTGTGAAATAGGCTGATGTGTATCACAGGACACACTAGGACTCATACAACCATCACACTTAATTATGGATTCCTTGATTCCTTCCAAACATTATTAACCTTAGCAAATTATTAATTTTTGTAATTCCACCTTCCCGCTTTAATATCCTAAACAATAGTTCCTAGAATTGTCAGCCAATAAAAAGGGGTAAAGTACTCCTAAATCCAATTGAGATTGGAAAAATTAAGTACCCCAAATTCCTCTGGATTACACTTCTGTGCGATCAACAAAGATTTGGATGGAATAAATTCTCTTTTCTGTTTTACAGTGCATGAAGAATCTCATTTACAATGTTGTGGTCTTTTGTATTTATCAAACGCCTCTATTTACCTGATGTGTTTAACAACACCATGGAATTCCTCCAAGAATTATAAATCAGTTGAAAGTCTGATTTAGCCTTCTTGCATCACTAGCAAATCATCTCTTTTATAAGGTTAAACATTTGAAATAAGTTTACTAGCCATTTAGTATTATGATTCATATTTGCATCCAGCTTGTTGTAACATTATAATTTAATCTTTTAGGGTAGACCTTGATTATCGTTCCTCTGATAAATGTTTGAACTAAATAATCTTTTTTCCTCCTGTTTCACGTTCACTTCTGGTTTTTTTCTTCTGCTACTTGGTTCTATTTCTTATTTCAAAACATTATTTAAGATCTAAACTTACTCTTTAGCAATATTTTAATTTCAGTATTAAAAAATCAGTGGTCATACGTCATTTCTAAACAAATCTCAAAATGAGTATAAAGGTCAAGCCAAAATCAACCTTAAAATATAAATGCAAAACTCAGATTAAAAATTGCTCATAGAACAAAATTATGTCAGTTAGAAATCCTCCAAAATGTTTAAGTTAAAAAAAAAAATTGAAGGAAGCCATCTGGAATTATCCAGAGGAATTATCATCAGAAAGGATCCATGACTAATAACATAACAAATCTTAATGGTGGATTAATGACCAAGATATTAATTATTTCAGTAGAAACACTGGCCCATAAGAATGTAAGCAGGGAACTTCAAAGAGGAAAACATTTACAAAATCCATCCCAGAAGTGCCTCCGTCTACCCTACCTACAAGACCTCAGAGAACAACCAAGTCTTCTAAGATCCCCTGGAACGCTACGAGAAAGCTACATGGCTTTCAGGAGGGTCCATCTTCTAAAGACAGCTGCCTTGACAGAGATGGCACATTTCCTGGGTCCTCAGAGGTGACACTATTTAAAGGGACCATGCAATTCCGTTGGCCCAATACCAACTAGGCAGAAACCATGAGAAATAGATACTCTCTCAAATAAACTGGTCCAACGCTTTATGTTCCACTAAACTGCTTTTGTACCAACCAAGATATATGGATCCTTGGTTAAGAAATACAGATCTAGATAACATTTTATAATCACAACCAGTACTTTCCCGATAAAGAACATGAGTATTAAATAAATGTTTTTTTACAATGTATAAGAAATTTAAGTAAACATATAGTGACCATTTTTTCTTGGAAAATATAAAGGACAAATTTGAAAAAATGGCAAATCTGAAAGAGACATATAAGAATTTAAAAAATGTTTATATTGATAACTTGGCTTTACAAACAAAATTTAACAGCGGAATTAAGAAAACTACAAATTCACATATTCTAATAAAAATATCTAAATCAAACAGTACATTTTAAAATAATTCAATTTCCATATTTTTCACATGAATGTGAAAGACTGCATTAAGTGGTACCATTTGTACAGTGAAAGTTAAATTATCAAAATAAAGGATAAAAGTGAGTTTTTAAAAAATAAATACCTTTAAAGTATAACTTTCTAAAATAAAAATTTGTCCTTTATAATAAAGGACATATGGTTAGGGTAGGTATATATCACCTCAATTTATTATTCTTTTCCAATATTTTACCTGGGATGTGACCTCTGCAAGTGTAATAGAATTCTTTGCAATAATCCTTGCACAGGAAAGGAAGGGCTAGTTCTCTTTCCAATGCCTCCTTCACAGTTGAGTGGAACAGATTCTGAGCATTCGGTGAACAGTGAGCGCATCTGATTTCCTGCAGCAGCTTCACACATTCTGTGTTGTTGGTAACAGAAAAGATCTGCAAGCCACAAACCAGAAACATATAAGCTTTCTTGTATCTTACAAAGCACACTGCAATCTTATATAAAAAACTATGCCAATTTAACCAAGATCATTATTGGTTAAACCTGTTATACCTATCATATGTAAAAAAAAAACCCACACCAATAAGTCATTGTCACAATTCTGGGGATTAAATAATAAAAATGTAATCATACATGATATCACACAGGTAATTAAAATTCTATGTAGCTAGATTAAAATATAGATTATGTTTAAACATTCAGTTATATCCTATACAAGTAATTCCTCTCACCTAGCTCATATTTGGTTCTGAAACCTGATTTGAAGGTACCCAGCATAATAGTTTGCATATGATTCCAAGTTGCTGTACCCCATATTGCATAGGTTGCCTCTTCCAGAGCATGGCTATTTGATATGCATACCTGTTACACATGGTTTCACTCACTCCCATGACAGTGAAACTGTTAACATAAGAACTAGAGAGTTTTAGTAGATGAAGACCAGGTTGTGGAAAGGTGCTGATGCAACTCTCAATCTAGCATCAGTACAAAGGAATACACAGAATAATGAAGCTAAATTATTCATATAATAAATAACACAGCTCTGGCTTCCCTTCTCCTAATTCTTTGCGTGTAAACAGAACACAAAATTGAAGTTGAGGTGTACATATCTTTTTCTACTAACATTTAGCAATAAAACAAAAAATGGTGTCGCTGTTTACATGTCTGGATAAGTTGTTGGGTTATAATTCCAGAATGTATGTCTTGTTTTCACTGAAATAAAGATATTGTAAATGTGTGAAAATTACATCTTTCCAGTTCAAGTTAATTGAGCAAAACCACCACAAATAATACAAGTATAATTCCCATTTATGCTACTAATTACTGTAATACTGAAAAGTAATTACATTTAATATAATACTGTAATAGATGTATTATGCATGCCCAGATACATGCCAAGATGGTATTTTTAACTGCACGCTAAAATTTAGCCAGTATTTTACACCTAGGTCTTGACAAAAATACTTCTTTTATCTTTCTAAAAATACTGTGGACTGACAGACAAGCAATATATATAGAGAGACAAGTAATTTTCCTTTATATTTGTTTGTATTAATCCAAATATATCTCTATTAATGATAATGCAAATTTACTGCACTATTCTAATAGAACTATAATAAGCAGGATACCACTATTACTCTTATATAATTAATCAATTTAAAGTTCACAAGATCAAGTTACACAATGATAAAAGTAGTCATATGTACAGATTGTGAAATTAACTTTTATGCGAGGCAAGTATTGATATACTTGTAAAATCATATAACTATATTATAATATGTAAAGTTTGAGGACAGTCTCACTTTTGTTCAACTTTATATCATTTCTTGGTTCTAATAATTGTTTACTAAACTTTCTAAAGTATATTTGAAATCAAAGCTTCTCTAAGATCTTTCTTTAATCAAGAAAAAATAAAAATCCCAGTTATTTAGCTTATCATTCAATTTGGATGTCTGCTTGCCTTCCTTAGGTCTGACAGAAGCACATACTAGAGACACGCAAAATAGCAAGCAATAGATATAGTACAGCATTTTGTGTGGATGGAAGCAAATTTATACTGGGTTTAAATACACCATCCTATACATTACAGAAGGAGAATATGCTTCATGAACTTGTTTATGTGCATATTAACTTTAAAGTACACATATGGAAATTGATGCACACAATTTAACAATACCCCTCCACCCCCCAAATCTATGCAGCCAATATTCACCAGTAGAGAAAAATAACATTCTGGGTTGCTGAAAAAAATTAGGTTAATTGAAAACCAATCTGATACCAGTTCTAGGTAGTGTGAAGCTTAGAATAAGCAGTATAAAACCATCCTTAAAATAAATTGGAAGTGGAAACTACTACAATAATCATGAGTTCCTAGGCATACAAAACAGATCATATTTTAAGCTGTTTGTTTTTATGATGTCAGAAAACTTGCATTTTCTATCTGGAAAAAAACTGCATTTCAAATATGACCCCATATCTATACATGTAGTCCTCCACTTACAACAGTTCGTTTAGTGACCTTCAAAGTTACAACAGCACTGAAAAATGTGACTTATGACCATTTTTCACAATTAAGACCTTTGCAGCATCCCATGATCACGTGATCAAAAATCAGATGCTTGGCAGGTGGTTCATATTTTTGACTATTGCTATGTCCCAAGGTTATGTGATCATCTTTTGTGACCTTCTGACAAGCAAAGTCAATAGGGAAGCCTGATTCACTAAACAACCAGATCACTAACATATCAACTGCAGTAAATCACTTAACAAATGTGGCAAGAAAGGTCATAAAATGGAGCAAAACCCACTTAACAAATGTTTCACTTAACAACAGAAATTTGGGGCTCAAATAGGGTTGAGGGCTATCTGTATGTTCATCCAGCTAGGATTTTTATCCAAACTGGCAAATAACACAAATTGTTCATATCTCTATTCCTCCCCGACTTTATATTATAAACTGAATTGATTAATAATGTATTTATTATTAGGTCCATTGACCTTTTGTAAATGATTGAAAGTTTGTGTATAACTAACATTAGTTTGAAAAACTAATTTAAAAGTATGCTGAGGGTCATGAGCAACAAGATCCATCAAAACATTTAACTGATTTACAGTATATCTTTAAATATATTCTTATATTCTTTAAAATATAACTGAGGATGAAAGTAGCAAAGATTATTTATGGATCTTGTAATACAGGTAGTTCTTGACTTAGGACCACAACTGGGACTTGGATTTTGGTTGCTAAGTGATGCAGTTGTTAAATAAGTCATCTCTTAAAAGCAAAAGTTGATTTTGAACAAGCAGAATAAAAAGACTATTGATGTTTTTGAACTTTGGTATTGGAGAAGTTTCCTGAGAATATTGTGAATAGCCAAGAATACAAATGGATCATCAAACAAGTCAACCCAGACTTCTCAATAGAGCTAAAAATGAACTTTCCAGTGCTAAGAATGTAAGAAGGAAAGCGAAGAAGAGCACAACCAGTAGCAAGGTGAATTGACTCAATTACAGTGCTGATGAGTGCACTGTTGGAAGATATGAAAAAGCAGGTTAGGATTGTGAAGAAAATCTACCTATGTGTCCATAGGAATTGATAATAACTTGATGGCACATAATTAATTTCTTCTTATTAGTAATCACGATGTCCACAAAAAAAGATTCAGACAGTCAAATCAATGTGCTCTTTGCATAGAGGAAATACTTCTAAAGTATAAAATAGTCTAGATCAGTTTTTCTTAAACTTTCTTCTCTCAGGACCCTTTCCCACTTTTAAAAATTAAAGAAGACCACAAAGGAGCATTATTTTTATCAATATTTATTGTATTAAAAATTAAAATTGATTCATTTGCTGCCAACCATTACTTCTCACAACTGTTTGATGTTATTTTAATATTGTATTATTTTTCAACATTGCTGGAAAATAATTTTGATTTCATGGACCTCTGGGAGGGCCTTGATGGATGCCTAGGAGTCCTAGGACCACACTTTAAGAAACCCTGGGGTAGATATTTAATAATAGTCTGGTTTTGTACACATCTGTCTTGCCATTAATTCAAAGCAATAGATTGTCCTACTTTTGATAACCGGCAAGCAAAAACAATAAATAAACTAGGCCATTACATACTCAATAAATAAGCGGAGACATTAGTCTGATAAACAGGTAGTCTTCAACTTACAACCACAATGGAGCCCAACATTTTGGTTGCTAGGTGAAACATTTGTTAAGTGAGTTTTGCCCCATTTTATGATTCTTCTTCCATAGTTGTTAAATGAATCAGTACAGTTGGTAAATTAGTAACACAGTTGTTAAGTGAAACTGGTTTCCCCATTAACTTTGCTTGTCAGAAGGTTGCAAAACTTGGTCACATGACTCTGGGACACTGCAATCGTCATAAATATGAATCAATTGCCAAGCATCTGAATTTTGATCATGTGACCATGGGGATGCTGCAATGGTCATAAGTGTGAAAAATGGTCATAAGCCACTTTTTCAGTGATGTAACTTTGAATAGTTACTATGTCAGGGGTGTCAAACTGCCGGCCCACGGGCCGGACGTGTCATCCCAAAGCCACGCCTATCCCATTGCCGGCAATGGAAAAACTGTCCCGATACGTTGCACGACGTCACATACGAGTTTGACATGTCTGCACTAACTTCTGTAAGTCGAGGATTACTTGTATAGTAAGTGAGCCCTAAATGGATGGGAGAAGATGGGCTGGGCATACAACCTCCAATCCTATTGCCCCATTTCTTTAAAGTAGGATAGAACATCTCTTGCAGTTTAAAGAACTAAGTGGGGAAAAAATTATTAGCCTTACAAAAACTATTAGCAACAAATTATTAGTGACAAAAATTTTATCTCAGTATTAATTTCCCATTGCCGCATAGGTGTTATGTAAATTAGGCAACAGCTGGCTTTATTCCTGACTCAGTGTCTCCAAAGTGCTTGAGCTGAGCTAGGGGAAGACATGTATTAGCCACAATAATTCCCTGAGTGGAGAATGTAGTGGAAACTGGACAGCAATAGCTGTAATAGCTTTTGTGCTTCCTACAGCTGCATGACTGGGCTGCCCAAAGGAAAAAAGCAGCTGCAACCTGTGGCAGCTGCCAACAGTGGCAGCTGGAACTTTGGATGGTATCAGCATTAGAAAAAGGCTGCGGGAGAAAGAGCGGGAATAACCGGCACTGCCACTCACCACAGAGGAGCCCATTCCCCATTCAACAGTGATGTTTACTATAAGGAAAAAGAGAAAGAGAGGAAGGGGGAAAAGATTTAGGCGAAAATTGAGAACTGCCACAGCAGCCGTCAAAATAGAGATGGAAATTCCGGAACCGGAAGCCATTGCCTACAACAAAATGATGACAACTTAAACATATTTAGGGCTTGCTCCATTCATTTCCAATTTCTTAGAAACCAACCTGATTAAATAA